TGACTAGTTGCAGGGTCATTGTGGCTATCGTAGATGCGTTCCATTTCCATATCGATGGCAGTAGTTACTGTGGTGAACTTGAGCCCACTGTAAAGAAAAGAAGGCTAACAAACAGCGAATCAGTAGCGGGAGAACGTGACAGTGGCAGTGAAGATGTCGTTTCTGAAGCAGAAAGTAAACCAGTCGATTCGAGAGTCAGTCCAGAAAATGTTCCTAAGAGTGCTGCATCATCAGTTCAGCAGAAAGTGATCAATTATTTGATTCCGCGACTGAAAGATTGCGCAACGGGAAAAGTCAGTTTTTGGTAGCTTTTCATCGCCTTGTTTTGAATATTCAAGAACGAGTGACTCGGAGCACCTCAGTTCTTTTGGTTTTGCTAGGAGAGTAAGAGAAACTTGCTACCCGAAATTAAACAGAGAGAACTTTTGTTAAATCAATCGAAAACGAGCTTTGTACGGAGGAATACTCCTCTTCAGCTGTGGCTATTAGAAGAGTATATTTCTCGTAAATACTTCCACTGGTCTCTGTTTACTGAATTTTTCAAAAGATCCTAAATGTCTTGAGATGTGCTGCTAGAATGCTGGATGACTTGCGGGACCATCTGGACAATTTTTCGGTAAGCACCAATAAGTTTCACTGATTACAGGACTTGACATCGCATCGAAAGGCACAATCAGGGAAGCATTACAAAGAAGATGATGACATACAAAGAGCTCCTGTTGCATTGGCAACAGTGAAACTGCTGCAGAAAATGCCACAAACAATTGTGGATCAAAATTTACAAGGGTATATTCCCTTTATAACCACAGTTGATTCCAGTTCTAATATCATACGAGCGTCCCGAACCCCACCAGTCATTTTGTAACAGTTCACATCCGGCTGCTATTATGTCACTGTTCCAGTTAGCGCAGATGTTTTGATGATTTCTGGGCTACATTTAACGAATTTCTATTAGTGAAAGGATCATTTGGTACTTAATCAATTTCCAGAAGAACTTTTGCTTATGTTTTGATAATTTTGAGATGTTTCTTCCGTCGGTATGTTCCTTCTCTTCATCAATATATCTTTTTTGTTTCGCTCTTTCTCAGCTTGTCGTATCCATATTTTATTGTAGACGCGATAGTTCTTTTCCACTCCCTCGAAGTACTTGTTCGTACGACGCATTACACAAGTGCCATTAAACCGTCTGATCTGACCATTTTACTTGGTTATTAGAAATTGTTGCATTTCCAGTGTGGTTGTGAAGATGTGTTCGCTGTTGATGTCGCGTGCCATCAGTGTGCGTGAAGTTGCCGGCAAAACACTTATTGAAATTGCCAGGACGCTTGGCCCGAAATATATTTGTTTCATTGTGCGGGAGATGAAGCAGAACATGAGGAAAGGATATCAGGTATGCACTAGCACATAACAACAAAATTTTACTCGCTCTGGTACTGGAATTTCCATAATACAGTGGTGCATGGCTGAAGGCTGGTAACTTGCAACTGCTGTTGGAAGTCTTGAAACTGTTGACAATGGAAGTGGTAAATCCACAAGTAGCTTGGCTCGTAGGAATTAGTTCCAAGTGATTGAAATGTTAGTTTTTTTTTTTTTTGCTAGTTCTTTTTATGCGTTTTTTGCAGCAACGCAATGCGAAAAACGCATTTTGACGAGAGGTTGTCTGTGTGTGTGTGTGTCTGTCTGTCTGTCTGCCTGTGTGTGCGCTGAGCCTCTGTACCGGTTTTTCATCTCGAGACCGGAAAAGCTACGGGGCTGGAACTTTGAGGACTTAATCTACATGCAGTTACGGGCCCCTACCCCCAAAATGGGCGGTCTTTCCCGCGTGGTACCCACGTAAGACCCCACCAAAGTTTTTTACGGGTAAGCTGCTAACTCGCGAACTAGAAAAGCTAGAGAGCTGAAATTTTATGGGAATGTTCCCCGTCCAAATAGGTACTAATGAGCTCAAATCCAGCCCCCGGGTAAGCGTGGTACTCGCGTACGAGCCC